TATATTCAAAAATAACTAACAAACATGTTACCTGATGAGAGGACATTAAATGCTGACTTTCATTTCCATCAATAGTTACATGGGTTTGTCGCTTGCCTGGTTGCGTTTGTAACTGAACACTCACATCTTGATCACCATGGTCATGAGCATGACCTATTACAAGTAAACTTTTACGACGTCTGATATGCTTTTAGAATATGAATCTAATTAGCACCTGAATGCCAGTAGTGAGATGAGGACAAAAATCTTAATAGGCGAAATGATTTGTGAACAAATTAATCTTTCTCTGTTAATCGCATGCAGTAACGAAACAAAATACAAACTATGTAAAACTATCAGAGATCTGGTTTCTATATTTTGGCATTTCCTCAGTTAAAATAACTGAGTTTAGACACTTTACAACAGCGAAACGTATGCCACAATAACAAAGATAAAGTAAGATTTGGTAAACTTGCTAATATATCAACACAAAGTTCCATAGCTAGATAACGAAATGATTAGTAATTTGATTTTTTAACCAAAATTCAGTGACAATATTAAAATAAATTCAAAACAAGCAATGTCTTACTGTGAAACATGAAAATTCCGATGAAATTAATAATGAAACCAATTATGCCCACAATAAGTACATTGAGTGGTTGCGTAATTTCTCTTGGTTCAATAAGTCGAGTGAGTGATTCGATAAATATTGAGAAACATAAAGCAAGTAAAAATACACCATTCACTAAAGCTCCAAGTACCTCAGCCCTCACCCAGCCGAAAGTATTATTCTTAGACGAACGAGATGCAATCTGCAAAAAAGTGCAATCACACAAAAATATGACAACCAACTGAATAACACTACCATTTCAAGTATTAACAAATGACGATACAAGTTGCGCAGAAACAAATGCACTAAACTTTAAAAGTAAAACATAATATACCCTTAAACAAGCAAACGCGATTGCAAGTGCCATCACATCACTCAACATATGAAAGGAATCAGCAACAAGAGCCATAGAATGTGATAAATACCCAAATATTAATTCGACAACGAAAAAAGCGAACGTCATTAAAAGCATAATGAGCAGTCTCATACTACGAGTTAATCTATGCCGACGCTGAAGATTCGATGCCATTCCTTCCGTCTCGTCATTTTGGCTGCTTCCTCGTTTCACTAATTTTTCTGACATTCTGCCTGAAAATCACTGATAATGCAATATAACACAACTCTAATGACAAACCTCTCTCCTTCATCTTCACTTTATGCTGCAGATTCGCATCACTCTTTACTTTCTTCTGCCATTTATCGAATGTAGTAGCACAGCTCAAATATCGTTGATTTCAACAACTGAAGACAAAAAAGCACTGCAGTTTGAAATCTTTTCTGAAAACTATTTACTATACCGTTTCACTTACAGTGGCAACTACTTCGGAAACAAAAATTTCTGTTCCCATCAATAAATACTTACCATTAGCATTACACTTTTTCCTAGTCATCACATACGTACCGTTTCGTCGCTCCGCTCCTCCATCTCTGTTCTTTTCAACGAACGACTGCGTCATTTCTTATTTAACGCTTCACACAATACTTGCGATCACTGAAAAAATATTGCAGCGAGTTACTAATTCACTCCTTACAAGCAAAGCTGAAATTGCAGGAGCTGTAATTCATTTCCTCAATGAACGGCTCACGAGGGAAACAACGATGACGTAGAACAAATACTACAATCATATGAAGAGGAACCTAATTTGCCAGAAGAGAAATAAAATAAGAGCAGTCTGACGTGAGGACCAGAAATTTCGAATAAAAATCACTTTTTTTCCTTCTTGATTAAAGATTCAAAGCTACTGTATCAACAATACATTACTTACTGTGATTGTTCCACAATGCTTTC